CTCCCAAGTAGCTGGGACCACAGGCGCCCGCCACAACGCCTGGCTATTTTTTTTTTGGTTGCAGCCGTCATTGTTGTTTGGCGGGTCCAGGCTGGATTCAAACCCGCCACCTTAGGTGTACGTGGCTGGCGCCTTAGCCGGTTGAGCTACAGGTGCTGAGCCCAGACTCAATTTCTTAAGGTTCTTTTTAGTTTGGCAAAGACTTCCATAGACTGATACACTGTTAAAGCCAGAAGGGGCCCTAGAAAGGTCCATTTTACGTAAGTGGAAACAGAAGCCCAGGAGATAGCAGCAAACCGAAGGGCAGAGACGAGGGAGACTGATGCTGCATGTATTTTTTTAAGCTTAAAAAATTATAAACTAGAGGGCCAGGTGTGGTGGCTCATGCCTGTAACCCTAGCACTCTGGGAGGCCCAGGCAGGTGTGAAAGTACATATAGTGAAAATAAGATGGAGTCTGTCAGGCTGGGGCAGATAGGATGCAGCTGGTCTGGTCAGTTTAAGTCCTGCTTGACCTTCACCCCCATCTCCCATTCTTACTGTTTTGTAAATTTAGCTCCCACCCTATAGCTACCCATCTTCTTGAGTAGTTTAGGTGGATTGATTTCGGAGGTTAATTTTTAAATTGCAGTGTTGTTGGGCAGGGAGCAGTGGCTCACACCTGTAATCCTAGCACTCTGGGAGATCCAGGTAGGTGGATTGCCTGAGCTCACAGGTTCCAGACCACCCTGAGCCAGAGCTCAATCTCAGGTATTGTGGCGGGTGCCTGTAGTCCCAGCTACTTGAGAGGCTCAGGCAAGAGAATCACTTGAGCCCAAAAGTTTGAGGTTGCTGTGAGCTATGATGCCACAGCACTCTACCGAGGGTGACAAAGTAAGACTCTGTCTCAAAAGAACATAAAAATAAAAATAAGTTAGAATGTTGTTCATTGTTTGTCGTGGGTTCTGCAGATTATAGTTTAAGATAAGGGTTAACATGGTCTTCACTTTGAACTTAAATGTATCTAACTATAACGTAGGAAATGGAAGATCAGAAGAGTCTCAGAGAGGCTACTCTCACTGTTGTCCAAAATCCCGGCCTTCTGACAAGTTTGGTGGACCTATCTCTGCATATTGGCTGACAGTGACAGGCAGCTGGACCCTCTTCGTCGGGTAACAGGTGGATTGCTTGAGCTCAGGAGTTCAAGACCAGCAAAATAGAAAAAGCAGCCAGATACTGTGGCAGGCACCTGTAATCCCAGCTACTCAGGAGGCTGAGGCAGGAGGATCTTTTGAGCCCAGGAGTTTGAGGTTGCTGTGAGCTACAGTGATGCCACGGCACTCTTCCCAGGGCAGAGTGAGACTCTGTATCAAAAAAATAAAAAGCAAACTACAGCCTACAAAGTGTATACAATGCATAGAGAATGATAATGAACCCCTGAACCTGCCATCCAGTATAAGAAATGGAATTGATTCCAGTACCCGTAAGGCCCCAATGCTGCATCTATTTAAACTGGGGTCTGTAGAGGACTCAGCTGCCCACAGAGCATGGAAAGGACTCATCAGAAAAGGGGCTTGTCCTAGGAAGAAGCCCATCAAGGTAGTTCTGGGTTCTCTGTTCTTCGTTTTTCTCTGTGGTGGCTCTTAGACTACAGGCTTGAATACCCCATCATCACTTCCTTTCTTTTTTTTTGAGACAGTCTCACTTTGTTGCCCTCGGTTGAGTGCCATGGCTCCATAGCTCAGCAACCTCAAGCTCTTTGGGGACAAGTGATCTTGCCTCAGCCTCCCAAGTGGCTGGGACTACAGGTGCCCACCACAATGCCCGGCTATTTTTAGAGATAGGATCTCGCTCTGGCTCTGGCTTGTCTTGACCCTGTGAACTCAGGCAATTTACCCACCTTGGCCTCCCAAGTGCTAGGATTATAGTCATGAACCAGCCTGCATCATCACTTTCAAAACCAGACTTTCTCCTTGGTGATGGTTCTAGACAAATGTTTTAGCCCTTCAATGTCATCTGGGAAACTAGTAGTCCTCCCAACTCAAGCAGTCACTGCCTTTCCTTCCCACAGGAAAATAACACATCACTATCTTCACAATAGGTACCATTTATCGAGTGTGCAGATGTTCTGAGCAGAGAGCTAGGCAGCTTATATGTATTTTATCACTTAGTTTCCACAGGAATCTTAGGAGTCACCATTAAGAAACTCATTTTTCGGCTCGGCGCCTGTGGCTCAAGTGGCTAAGGTGCCAGCCACATACACCTAAGGTGGTGGGTTCAAATCCAGCCTGGG